ATAAACCCTTCTCTGCCCTATGATTTCTTTTTCCTACCTCCCAAGAATATGTCTGAACATGATGATGCACACTTGTTATCCCCAGTAAGCAAGAGCCAAAGCAGGATTGCTGCAAGTTAAAGGCCAATCTAAGCTGTCTCCCAAAAAAAATCTAAATAAATGTAACTTAGGTCCTTTGGTTAAAGGTCCCCAGAGATAGCATTTTTTCAACAGGGGGCATGTTTTCCAACCCAAGGTTAGGCTAAGGTCTGAAGTCCACAACACATCCTGTGTACAGGAATTGGCATGTAAGATTTCCAGGTAATGAGCCTAACATCAACACCTGGAAATGTGAGCTGTAAAGAGCCTACGGAACACTGAATCTGCCTAGAACCAAAACCCCAGGAGGCTGTCTTCCCCATGAGAGTCTCGATCATTCTGACTCTAGCAGCTCAGTAGCTTTTATCTTCCAGGACTCTTGGTGGCCCTGCTGGATTTTATCCCACTCTACTGAAAACCTGTAACGAAGGCAGCCATCTGCTTTATGCCATTAAAACAGTGAGTCACAGCTTGCCATGCTAGAATAATTCAGGGGCAGAGAGTTTGGCGGTAAGTTAGAAGGGCCTGTCTGGAGGTGGCTGGTCCCAGTGTTGAATGCCATAAGCTTGTCAGTCCTGACCCCAGGGTGCTGTCAAAGGAGAAAGCCTCTGCCCTGTTCTGGTGCACAAGTGCTATAAGTGCCTTTGGACTCACATTTACATACCACCTAGCGCGTCTAGGATGCTCTCCATTCTGCAAGTCATTCCAGCTCCAGTCAATCAGGCCATCTTCTGACTTAAAACACAGGTTTCACCAGAACTCTGGCTGCTTTGGGGGTCTGTGTTCTTAGAGCTGTGCTTCCTAGTTTCTGGTTCTGTTATTGAACCTAGAAAAAAGACCTGAAGAACAATCTGAGGACCCAGTACCCAAAAGTTTCCCTCTATTCCCACTTGTTGAAGAACTAGAAGACCGCAGTGTTGATTCTTTTATATGTTTATTTGATCGTCATAGGAGACTGATGGAAACTCTCTAAGCTCCTTTTCAGAAGCACTTTGCTTATCAAGTGTGTATGAAAGATTTTCTAGCTAAGCTCTTGATTCTTACCTAATTTGTCCTGTGTAACTACCTAAAGTTCCAAGCTTGTGTTAAGTGAAGAGCAGTCCTTCTGCGCCAGCCTGCTGGAGCTGATGCTTATTCTTTCCAGGCGCCTCTGAAATGCCTCTTGGGGGCTGCCCTCAGCCTTTCAGCTTAGCTGCATTGCTCTACTGCTCTCCTCTGGAGTCCATGATAGTACTGTCCAAGTGGCAGACATCTCTTACCTATTTCAAAACTCACAAGCCATAGTGAGCTCTCAGAATTTCCCTGTGTGTGTGGCACAGTAGAAGCAGTGTGCCATGGACAGGACTTCGAGTAAACTGCTTTCAGAAGCAAATTTGAGTAGATATGCTCTTTTTTTTTTGGGGGGGGGGTGGGGACAAGGGAGGCTGGGCCAGGTATGATGGTATATGCCTGTAATCCCAGCATTTGAGTAGCTAAGGTAAAAGGATTGCCATATAGCCAGGCGTGGTGACACATACCATTAATACCAGCACTTGAGAGGTAGGGGGGCAGGAAGGTCTGAGTTTGAGGCCAGTCTGAGCTACATAGACCTTGTATCAAAAAGGCAAAAAAAAAAAATCTCATTCCCATTCTCTATGGAATGTTTTTCCCTCAGTTCTTATTTAACAGTTTTGTGATTCCTGGAACAATATGTATGTCATTTCATGAAGAGAGTTGATTTTGCAAGGGGGTTTGGGCTATGCAAGAATAAATGATAAAGCTGCAGTTGTAGCCCACTGGCAAGCATGAAAGAGTGTCTTTGACGAGTGTAGTGCAAAGAAGGGAAAAGATATAAAACTGTGCATGATAAGAGTAATGTACGTACTGGCTGCAGTCTAGCCAGCCAGCGGTATGAATGTGAGAGACATACATCTTGCCGGTCATCTGGGGTGCACTGCCAACTAGAGCTCAGCCCGGAGAGGTGGACACCCCTTGGGGTGGTGAGTATCCAACCTGCTGTGTGTTTGACAAGCTCTGTGAGTGTCAGGGTGTTGCCTCCCAGATAAATTTAAATGAGAGCTTTTCTATGAAGAACAGTTGACTTTTCCTAACGCTCAGCCTTTTGGGAAACTCTCATGGAATGTTGACAGTTATTTGAAACCTTAACTCTTTTGAATTCCTGCCCTATCCCTGGGGAGCCTTAGGCATCCTGCCCAAATTTCCTTGGAGTTGGATTGATACTAGAAGTGAAAATCTTCCTAGTAAAGGGCTTCTCTCTTCCCAGAGCCAACAGAGCCTGGGAATGGTGGTGAACAGTTCAAAAGATTTGAGTCAGGAAGATCACTGTAAATTTTGAGAGTAGCCTAAGCTACTTAGCAACACCTTGTCTCAAAAAAAAAAAAAAAAAAAAAAAAGCCTCAGAGTGTACTGGCTATGTTGTCATGGTGCTAAAATATAGAAAAAGCCATACATTCTTTTTCTCATTTCAGGTGTTTCTGTATAAATAAAATGAATTATGCAAATTGTTTGAAAATCATGGAAGGTACTTTTTCAACCAATAAACTATTTTTACAGCACTGTTTTTGCCAAGAGTTGTGAAATCACTTGTGTACTTTGGGGGAAGGGAGATTAAAGGCCTACTCTAAAGTCACGCCACTACTCAGCATTGGAAATCTCACTTCTTGCTGTGCTGACATTTTAAGAGCTGTCTGGTTGGAGTATTACAGCTAGACTCACTTAGCATAAAAGTTGCAACTTTTAAAGACAGCTGGTCCTCCTTTTGCCCTCTTAGACAGCTTCCTTCTTTAGGTGTCCATAAACAACCTGGTCCTCATCAGGACTATCTCGTAAGAATATCTGTTTTAGGGATTATTCAAGTTGACATACTAAACCTAAAAGTGCCACCAGCGACGCAGCTCAGGAGTTCTGGTCACCCAATACCATGTCAGAAAGCCAGCTCAATAGGATACAGTGAATGTTTTAGGAACCATAGCGTGCGATATAGGCCTATACTATCAGTGCTAGGGCAGAGGCAGGATGATAGTCACAAGTTAAAGGCTACACTGGGCTTGGCTGAGGATACCTTTAATCCCTGCACTAGGGAGGCAACTGTAAGCAAAATCCCTTGAGCTCAAAGCCAGCCTGGGCTACATAGTGAGACCTTGTCTTATCTATAATATATATATATATTATAATATATATATATATTATATATTATATATATATTTGGGGGGCTAGAGAAATGGCTTAGCAGTCAGGAGCACATGCTGCTCTTCCAGAAGACTCAAGTTCAATTCCCAGTAAGCACATGGCAGCTCACAACTGTGTAACTCCAGTCCTAGAGGATCCACTGCAAACATACGGTGTGCAGACATACAGGCAGACAAAACACCATACACAAAAGCAATCAAATCTTAAACACATGTATATTTTAAGTTAAAAAAGTTCATCAGCCAGATACAGGGAGTTCCAAGACTACATAGTCCCTATCCTGGGGGGGAGGGCACTATGAGCCTGTAATTCTAGCACTCTGAAGGCTAAAGCTAGAAGGATCATTAGTCTGAGGCTAGTCTGGATTGCATATTAGGACTCTACCTGTCCCCTAAAAGACAGCCTTCAATAATGGTTCTCAGACTCATTTAAACAGAAAAAGGTACCTGGTTAGGTTGGAATGTAGTGGGACAGGAAGATGTTCTTTGTTACTGAGGTATGCACCTTTGTCCCCGGGCTCAGAAGCTGGTCTGGATTTTATACCCCCTCCACCCCTATCAGTTCAGCCATCTAGTCTTGTCCAGTGATCATTGCACAACCATATTTCTTGGTTCTGTTTTCACTTAAGTCCTGATGGTAAGAAGGAAAAGGCCAGGGCTGGAGAGATGGCTCAGTGGTTAGGAGCACTGTCTGCTCTTCCAAAGGACCCAGCTCACAACTGTCTGTAACCCTAATTCCAAGGGATCTGACACCTTCACACTAATGCACATAAAAGTAAATAAATTGTTAAAAAAAAAATGAAAAAAGGCATTCAGTGGTTTCCTGTACCATTTCTGTCCTCCATTTGGATCCCCCAAAGATTTCTCCTTTTGAAGCCCCAATTCACAGCTTGCTCTGCTCTGTGTTGCTTCAGCACAAGGGGGCTTTGTGCAGCTAGCCTTGGTTTTACCAGGGTGGTTAGCTCCCACTCCCGGCAGCCAGGGATCATGCCCCCTTGGGATAATGATCCGCCTAAGGGTGTTCCGTGGGACCCCACTGCTGGGCCTACCTTATAGAGACAGGTACACCTGTGCTGTATGAGCATAAGTAGCCATGCCCTTTCCATCATGAAAAGAGTATTCAGGGTACACACTGGGTCCATCAATTGAGGGAGACTAATAATTAATAGTCCTGTTTCCTCTTCCCAGATTCCACTTGAGTCCCTCGCCTTCTCCTCTGCTAATGAACACCTGGCTGCGTTAATCTTTACCTGCCCTACACAGGTGCCCGCATGCATTTAGAGTGGATATCTATTAGTAACCTATCCCTTATTTTAAGTAAGTGCCGAGTTGGGAAACATCTTGGACATGTGACTTCTGGCCAGTGCTCTGTTTTTGTATGCCCCCAAAATAAAAATGAAAGCAGCCCTCTTCCAGAGTTTGCGAAGGAGGCGGGCCGGAGGGCAGAGGGTGGGGTGGCCAAAACTAAATCCAGAGTGCTTGGGTTTCCGAAGCCAGACCCAGGCCTGGTGCTTGGCTTCTCACCCACCTGCCTCGTGCCTACGGAGACAGTGGCAGGCTTGGGGCGCCACACTGAGTGAGTTGAGGGAGCTTGCCCAAAAATCTTACGGCCCGCCGAGGCAGTTAAGGAAGGCTTCTTCCAGCCACGTGCGCGATGACAGCCACAGGCGACAGTCACGGGCGGAGCTGCAGGGCCAGGCTGCCCGCACTCCCACCGCAGGAATGACAAACCCAGCTGCCCTCTAGATCTCGGTGTCAGAGGTGTCCGGGCCATAGCCCCGGGCGCCCAGGTTCCCTGGACTTGGGGCACCGCCCACGTTTCCCCGTGACATTGCCGCGGGGGCTCGGGAGTTGTAGTCTCGGGCGGGGCGCCGGCACCGGGGCCGGGGCTTCGCGGACTCCACGTCCCGGCGGGCGGTGCGGCGGGCCTGGGGCCGCCAGGGGCGGGGCCGCTCGGCCCTTTAAACCTTTCAGGGCTGCTCCGAGGGCCGCAGCTGGAGACGCGGCCACGAGGGGGCCGAGCAGGGAGCGGCGGCGGCGGGGCGCTCCGGGGAGGTGCGTACTGGACTCCTTTTCTCCCGCGGCCTCCAAGGGACCGCTTTGGGGAGCCGGGCTCTGCAGGGAGGGGGTATTGTCGCTGGCTGCGGACTCCTATCCAAGCTGGGGTCCCCGTGCCCACGCGAGCGGGACCCGGTCAGACTTCCCTCGAGAACCCGCCCCTTTGCCGGGGCGCGGTGGTCAGGTGGTTTGCCCGCGCGCCAACGCCTCGCAGCCGCTCTCTCGGCCCGGAGTACCCTCCCAGGCTTTCCCTGGCATGATCCCCGTGATTGTCTTAGCTTCAGTCTTCACCAAGCCGGCGTCCCTAAGGCCGGGGAGCATGGCTCTCTTTCCAGATGTTACAGCCCTGCCCAAGCTTCTCAGCACGCCCGTGGTATTTGGGTAGACCACGGAGGCCCAAGATGGATAGCCAGAGGGTGCCACGTTCCTACCGGGGCACCCAAAGTCTGGACACTCAAAAGCCTAAGGAGAGCTCTGGATTAAGTGTTGACCACACTCCTCCTCCCCACCCGCCCTGGCCAGTCACCAGACCCTGGACCTTGATCTCTCCCCAACCAGGCCAGGGCAGCTGATGATTGTGGCCGAAATTATCTCAAGGTAGCCGGGCCTGCCCCCTGTTCCCAAACTACCTGTTGTCCTTACCCACAAACTACCACCACCCTGGCTCCACTCCCTCATGACCGCCTGGATCCTCCTTCCTGTCAGCCTGTCAGCATTCTCCATCACGGGCATATGGACTGTGTGAGTAAGAGGGATGTGTTGTTGGGGGGGGGGGGGGCTAATAGGAGCTTGATAGTACACACAAAGCCCCTTGTCTTATTTGTAGGCTCCAGAATGGTACCCAGGGTCACTCACTCTGTCTCCAAAGCTTGGCCTGATTCCTGGGCACACAGCCTCTTGGGACAAGCTGGCACCACTGCGGTCCAGCAGGACAGCTCTGACATAGACTTCTAGGCAGGGTCTCTGGTTGGAGGCAATTCTGCAGGATCTGCTCTAGTGTTAATACTTAACTCTCTCCTCACCCCACAAATGAGTTCCCAGCAAGGACAGTGAGGCTGAATGAGGCCAAAAGTCAAGTAAAAGAGACAGTAGGTAATGGCTGAGCCTGAAGAGACATAGGGACAAGGTGGCATGTCAGTTCTGCTCCCACAGGTATGCCATGGCCGTGATGAACCGCCACGTGTGCCCAGTGGAGAACTGGTATGGAATATTCTGCAGATGGCCTCACTCTAAAGCTCCCTTCATCTCTGTCCCACCTTGAGCTCACAAGCCACATGGGAGACCATAGGCCTCACTACTGTTCTCTGACATTGGTCTCCGGGCATGACGTCCTGTCCATGTACCCACTTCCCATCATCCCTTCATTCTCTTTGCTTCTGCTTCAGGAAGGCCCTGGGGAGGTCTGAAAGACTTCTCTTCGAGGCCTAAGGCTACAGGTCAGAGTTCTGAGAAGCCCCTCCCCCAAATCTACCCATGTCGTACCTCCCAGGTCCTACAATGAGTCCTGCTCTCCTGACCCTGCTGAACAAGGGGGCCCTAAGACCTGCTGCACCCTTGACGATGTTCCTCTTATCAGGTAGGTCCTGGAAACTGGGCAAACCCTAGGTCCCTCCAGACTTTGGAAACCCGCTCAGGCAAAGGGCTGTCCCTAGATCTTAAGAACAAACATTATACTGAGCCAATTAATACTACCAAGCCAGGCCTAGTGGCCAAGAACTGTAATCCTAGCACTTGGGAAATAGAAATAGGAAGATGAGTTCAAGGCCTGCCTGTGCTATATGAGACCCTGTCTCAGAGAAGAGAGGAGGAGGAGCCTGGGCATTAGGTGTGTGTGTAGTTCAGTTGGCAGACTGCCTGCCTAGCATGTACAGAGCCCAGAAAACTAGATGTGGTAGCAAAAGCCTGTAAAGCCAGCAAGAGGATCAGACATTCAAGGTCATCCCAGCTAGTTTTTGGCCAGCCTGAGCAATGTAGGAATTAAGTGCACTACTTGCTTTTTCTAGCATGTAAATTCCTGCTGGGTTTTATATGCCAGTGGTGCCTTTTAATCCTTCCTGCAGTTTAGGTTCTGCTCTTTCCGTTTTTGCATGTGGAAACAGAAGCTTGGAGATACTTACTTCAGGTTGCACAGCTAGCCAATGAAAGTACCTGAATTTAAGCTTAGCACCTCTTGAGTGCTGAGGAAAGATTAAGAAAATCAGACCAGCTGCAGGCCTCAGCAAGGAGTCTCTGATCTGCCTGACACGCTAGGGCACCTCTTTATCTCTCAAACATATGAATACTACTGAAATCAGAGGCTTGCTGCTGAGGGCCAAGCACAGATAAAGCCCTTGAGAGGGAAGGCTAGGAGGGATGCCGAGGGCCACCGGTACTCCTGCCTCACTGTCCTCCCCTTCCCCTCAGCAAGTGTGGTACATATCCCCCAGAGAGCTGCCTCTTCAGCCTCATTGGCAACGTGGGTGCTTTTATGGGTGAGTGATACCCCTCATCTCCAGAAAAGCCCACAAACCTTTACTCTGCAGTCTGCTCCATCACCACCAAGGGCTAAGGTGAGACGGGCCACTTCTCTCTTGTTCACCGAAGGCCGGATGTTAGTTTCACAGCTGACCGGGGTAGAAGCCTGGGGAGGGGCAACACCCCCAAAAGTTTGCTCCCTACTTGCCCACAACCTTGTAGCTCTCAGCAAGAGGCTGAAGAGCCACAGTTCAAAGGCAGAGAACTGGCCCAGCATTACCGTCTTCTCCTAGTGGCCCTGATCTGCCTCCTTCGCTATGGGCAGCTTCTGGAGCAGAGCCGGCACTCCTGGATTAACACCACGGCGCTCATCACAGGTTGCACCAACGCTGCAGGCCTCGTGGTGGTCGGCAACTTCCAGGTGCCCCCTCCCTACCTCCCCTTCAGAGGGTCTGGATGCCTGTAGGGACAGCACCTGGAGGCTGATCAAGGGAGGGAGGAGCTGAGGAGGGAGTCAGGGTGATAATCAGCCTCTGTCTGGGCCAGGTGGACCATGCCAAGTCTCTGCACTACATCGGAGCTGGTGTGGCCTTCCCCGCTGGGCTGCTCTTTGTGTGCCTGCAGTGTGTTCTTTTCTACCATGCGGCCGCCACCCCACTGGACCTGGCCATGGCCTACCTTCGAAGTGCACTGGCTGTCATCGCCTTCATCACCCTGATCCTTAGTATCCTTCTGGGACAGGGGAGCCAGGAACTTGCGCCCTAGCGCAACCTTCCACCCTAGGTTGGGGGTAGGAGTGGGATCTTGAGCCCAGTGACTGCCCTAGGCTCCTCATGAGGTCCAATCCTACTTATTGGGGACGGCCTAACAGGCGCTGCCAGGTCCACACATCCTATTGGCCCTTTCCTTAGCCCCACTCCAGGTGGAGTCTTCTTCCTCCACGAGAGCTCTCAGCTACAGCACGGCGCTGCCCTGTGCGAATGGGTGTTTGTCCTCGATATCCTCATTTTCTACGGCACCTTCAGCTATGAGTTTGGGGCCATCTCCTCAGACACACTAGTGGCTGCACTGCAGCCTGCCCCTGGCAGGGCCTGTAAGTCCTCAGGGAGCAGCAGCACCTCTACCCACCTCAACTGTGCTCCCGAGAGTATTGCCATGATCTGAGGCCTGGAGGGTGGCTGGCCCAGCCTCCAAAGCACCCGCACCCTCTACCTTCTTCGCATTTATTTTGTACCAAAAACAATTTTTAGAATACTGTTGGGATTTAGGCTTCCTCACTCCTGGAGACGTGGCCATCCAACACCCACCCGTGCCATAGAGGAGCGGGGCCTTGCCAGCTACTTCAGCGACATGTTCTGTTCCCCCATACCAGAGTAGTATTTTGTGTTAAAGGTCACCTGTCCTCACTTGCCCAGCCAGCCCTTCAGGTGCCTTCTACTCCCAGTGCCAGAGCCAGACCACTGGGCCTTCCTGCTGTAGGAACTGGGGGCTGGGGCAGCAGGGGCCCAAAAGTCTGGATGATGGGAGGAGCATGCCTTAGCCTAAGGGAAGGCCCACCCAGCTGCACTTGGGTTCTTCACTCTGCCCCTCACTTCCTTTAGGGCAAATAACACAGCAGAACCACACAAGTATTTTAGTACTTTTTATATCTATTAAAAGAATTCTAATTTGCATGTTTGCAGTCTGTTCTGGAGACTCAGGGAGGGTCTGATCCAGTAGGTAGGGATGGAAAGAGGCCCTTTTGTCCAGGGAAGATTCTTGGGGGTTGCCAGGAACTAAGAGTGACAGGTGCCAATCAAATATATCACAAAGGTCTGAGCATGGTGGTACATACATAGCAGTAATCCCAGCACTGGGAGATGGAGGCAGGAAGACTCTGCCATCCTGGTCTATACAGTGAGTTGCAAGCCAGCCAGGGTTACACAGAGAAGCCCACTTTCAAAACCTCCACAAGGGTTTGTCCCCCTTTATGAGTCTCTAAACAGCTGAAGAACTGGCTTGGCTTTGTAGCCTCACTTCTACTCAGTCTAGCTTGAACTTTGCTTCCTTGATAAGGGGACCTCCAGGGGTGGGAAACAGAGAGCACTTTTTACAATGTTGAAAGGTTTCTCTGATGAAATAAAGAACACCCCAGGATTCCAATGTTAACTAAAGGTTCCAAGGTTAACTAGAGACTTCCGGAAGGGGGTGGTACAAGTTAAGTTTATCAGTTTTAAGTGCTACAAAGTGCCTGGATCTGAAACAGTTTGACTTCTAACAGAAAACTCAAACCCAAGCCCTGGCTGCTCCCTGGCCACCATCCAGAGGCTAGAGGCTAGCAGAGTGGGCAATGCAGCCTGGCGCCTTCTGCCATGACACCTTTGACAACTTTCTCGTTAGCAGCAGGGTGGAGGATGCAGAGTTCCTGCTCCAGCTGGTGAGCAGTGCAGCTGCAGGCTGGGGGGAAAAACCTTTAATGAAGAGTCAAAGTACAAAAGGAAAGATGTCCTAGAGCCTGAGCTCTCAGCCCTAGCTGCTGCCTCACGTGTACATGGCTCCATGGAGGTTCTCCAGTCGGTGCTGCTGCTGCTGCCTCCGAGCCTGGAAGAAAGACAGCAGGCTAGGCAGGGCCAGGCCTGAATACTCATAGATAGAGCCACAGAGCAGCTGTCAGGGGGCCTGCTTTCAGGTGCCTAGCATCAACCATGCTAAGGTCTTTGCCCCTCACCAAACTGACTTGGAAGGGAGCCGAAGCAAGGGATTCAGAGGCTTATCCAAGCCTGCTGAAGTGGAAAGACAGGGAGTGTAGCAGGGATGGGGTGACCAGGGCCACCGTATCGCACCACAAAACCACCAGCCCCTACCTTGTCTTTCTTGTGCTCTTCATAGCTGTCATCATCGGTGGGCAGCTCATAGCGGCACAGGGGGCACGAATTTGTCTAGAAAAATCAGAGCAGTATTCCAGCCCTTTCCTACTCCTGATTCCCATCCCTGCCTTCACCCTTCCTTGATTTCACCTCGGTCCATAACCAAAAAAGCAGCTTAGGGACCGGTGCCAGGGCAGGGTGCGGGTGGAAAATGTACCTTACTTAGCCAGGGCAGAATGCAGTTGGAATGGAAGAAGTGATGGCAGGGCATCTCAATGACAGTCTCCTCCTCCTCAAATTCCAAAAGACACACAGGGCACTTGAGCTCTTGAAGGGGAAGTACCAATCAGGAGAGCTGTTAAGGCCCAACCCAACCTCCCACTCACACCCAGACTTGGCCTAGAAAACAGGCCAGATTGTTGGTGGCATGGGGGAGATGGCAGGTCTGGCTTATCTGCCCTAAACAGAAAAAAAGAACTTGTGTTCTCACCAGCCTTGGAGCTACTGATGACTGTTCTGGGGAGGCTCTCCACGACAGCCTTGGCAGCTGGTGGAGGCAGGTGGTGTTCCCAGTCTACCAATCCCAAGTCCTCAAAGTCCATCCTATTAAAGAGTGATCTGAGGAAGAGGGTCTAGGATCAGAAATAAGGGAACCCCATATTTTTGGCCCCCATAATCCTCTGGACACTAACAGACAAAGATACCTGCCCTGGCTAATAACGACTTGTACACAGCTGCTCAGTAGGGAAGAAATAAATAAATAAATAAATAAATAAATAAATAAATAAATAAATAAATAAATAAA